AACCTGCTCCAAAGGCCCCTGACTCCGTAGCTCTCCGCCTCCTGCAGAGCCGGGCTGTCAGGCTGACCTCGGCCGACTGGGATTGTAGAAGTGGCCTAGAGCGCCTGGCTGGAGCCGTGCCTGAGAGCTGGTATGAAAAGGCCCACGTCTCGGGGGACGTTGCCGAGCGGTGGGGGTCTGCACTTGTTCCTTTACCTTTCCCCGAGAGGGAGGCTGCGTGTTCCTCCTTTGGATGAGGCGCGTTCCCGTGCCAGGCGGCGCAGGCCTCCGGGTGCGTCTTCGCTGGAATAAATGGTCCCTTCGCTCCAGGCAGCGGTGCAGGTTATTGCTCTAGTTGTGGGAGTCTTGCTTAGGGATGGCTTGGCAGTGCAGCCATTTGGGTCACGAACCGTGTGAACTTGAGCAGAAATTCTGGTGTCGACAGAATGAGCCCAGCACAGGCAGGACTGACGTCCCTCCGGCAGTGTCCTCCTGAGGTGTCAGCACCCGGAGCCAAGGGGAGGTTAGTCTCTGCAGCCCAGGCCTGTCCTGGGGCTCTTGATGAGCAGGCCCGTTAGCAGCCGTGGGCTGGGCTGCGCGTGGACATCTCCCCAGCACCGCCGGCCCCCCGCTCTGCAGGGCAGCAAGCTGGGACCGATGCTCGCTCACTCACGCGCCGTGGGTTTTTCCATTCTCGTCCAGGCCACCGAATGGCCAGCTGGGATAATGGCACGTTGGCTTTTCTTCGCTGCCCTCTGGGTGCAGCGAGAGGGGAAGGAAATCCTGCACAGCCTGCCTCGCTGCCCTTCCTCTGAGGGGTAGGAGTGTGGCCCCATGCTGGCCGGAGCGTGCGTGTGCTTGTTGCTTCTCCTGAGGGCAGAGCTGCCACATTCTCGGCGTATTTCCTCCAGGATGCAGCCCGGCCTCAGTGGTTTGTTTCTCTCCTCAGACACCACAAACCAGGGACCAAAATGACAGACTCCAAGTACTTCACCACGACGAAGAAAGGTAACGCGCACGTGCGGGTCGCTCGCCCTTCCCAGCCAGCCCCCAGGGTCCTGTCGCTCCCTGCGACCGCCCATGCGAGTCCTGCCCGCTGCCCCGATCGTAGTCACTGCCATTCCCCTGTGCCACGGCTGACAGGCCAGGGGGGTCTGTTTCGCTGCTCTCATAGAGGGGAAAGAGACATGCTTGCTGAGGGGTGACTGGCCTCCGTGCAGGTGTCTCCTGCAGGTACCAGTGAAGTGGGGTTAACTTGCTCACTACCTGCAGACAGCACTGCCCGTCACTCAGGTGCTGAGCATTCCAGAGACGGCAGCTCCGGGGCCGGGCAGAGAGCGAGCCGGGGCCCGGTGCCTTGGGGCTGCGGCAGCTCAGGGGCCGGGCGGAGAGCGAGCCGGGGCCCGGGGCCTTGGGGCCGCCGCCACCGTGGGGGCGGGC